TAGTGATTAAATCAGGGTAATTGGAAATTCATTACCTCAAACATTTCTGTTTTCTTTGCATTGGTAACATTGCAAATTTTTTATTCTAGTTTTCTGGAAATATGCAATAAATTATTGTTAACTATATGTTCCCAACCATGCTATTGAATACTAGAACGTATTCCTAGCCGGGTGCAGTGACTCACGCCTGTGATCCCAGCACTGTGGGAGGCCGAGGCGGGTGGATCTCCTGAGGTTGGGTGTTAAAGACCTGCCTGGCGAACATGGTCAAATTCTGTCTCTACTAAAAGTTCAAAATTTAGCCGACTGTGGTGGTGGGCACCTGTAATCACAGCTACTCAGGAGGCTGAGTAAGAGAGTCACTTGAATCCAGAAGGTGGAGGTTGCAGTGAGCTGAGATCATGCCACTGCACTCCAACCTGAGTGACAGAGACTCCAGCTCAAAACAACAACAACACAATAAATTTATTTCTACTGTCTCTTTGTATCCCTTAGCCCACTTCTCTTCAGCCCTTCCCAGTTTCTGGTGACCACCACTCTCCTCTCCACCTCCAATAATGTTTAATTAAATGTGTGCACAAATGTGTGCTACACTGCTGCTTGTCCGATTTTGTATTTGTGAGATTATTGTACTGGACAGCAATTTATTAACTATATGTGACGGTGGCTGAACAGTCAGAGCTGATGCTAAATCACTGAGGGTTTTGTAGGGAATGCCATTAAAAGTAAAATCCTAAGATGCCTCCCAAGCTTCCAGGGCAGTTCCACTTGGGGAGCGGTGGGGCTGCGGGCGGGGCGGGGCCCTCTTGAGCCTGAGAGCCGCTGTGAGGGGCCAGGCTGGGGGCGCCTGGCTGCTTTTGTTTCAGGTGGGTTCCTTCACTGCCCCTTCTCCTCTTTCTAGTTTCTCTTTGCCAAGTGCCCAGGCTCCGTTCCAAGCTGCCTGTCATCCCCCCAGCCCTTTGTTCCTTCCTCCTCCTTCCCCGGGACCCCCTGTCTGGCCTTGGTTTCTGTTTTCTGGCCTTTCCTCTTCCTGCTTGCGTTCTCCCGACCCTCCGCTCGGCTTTAGGTCTCGTGTTTATTTCTCCGTCCCCAGCGGTGGAGGGTGCTTGCCGGGGGAGACGTGCAGGGCTGTTTGACACTGACCCCGCCCACCAGCCCCCATCTGGGTCCAAATGGAACCCCACAGAAGTGAAACGTACCAAGGGGAATCAGGTGTGACCCAGGGGCTGGGTCTCGGAAAACAAGCCTGCGTTGAGTTGGTCCCAGTCTTCATAAAGAGCTCTTCTCCCGGCCCGCACAGTGGCTCACACCTGTAATCTCAGCACTTTGGGAGGCCGAGGTGGGTGGATCACCTGAGGTCAGGAGTTCAAGACCAGCCTGACCAATATGATGAAACCGTGTCTCTACTAAAAATACAAAAATTAGCCGGGTGTGGTGGTACATGCCTGTAATCCCAGCTACTTAGTAGGCTAAGGCAGGAGAATCGCTTGAACCCGGGAGGTAGAGGTTGCAGTGAGCTGATATTGCGCCATTGCACTCCAGCCTGGGCAACACAGCAAGACTTTGTCTCCAAAAAAAAAAAAAAATCTTCTCCCTGCTGATTTCATGCCCAGGCATCCAGTGTGCTGTGCTGGTGTGTTTTCTTTGGTGTTTGTCATCAGTTCCTGCTGGGATTCTAGAGGGGGTTGGAGGAACAGGTGGGAACCATCAAATTTTTTTGTTTGTGTGTGGTATTTTTTTTTGTTTTTTTTTTTTTTTGAGACGGAGTCTCGCTCTGTCACCCAGGCTAGAGTGCAGTGGCGGTGTGATCTCAGCTCACTGCAACCTCCAACCCCTGGGTTCAAGCAATTCTCCTGCCTCCACCTCCCAAGTAGCTGGGATTACAGGCGTGGGCCACCAAACCCAGCTAATTTTTTTTTTTTTGTATCTTTAGTAGAGATGGGGTTTCACCATGTCGGCCAGGCTGATCTCGAACTCCTGACCTCAGATGATCCACCTGCCTCGGCCTCCCACAGTGCTGGGATTACAGGTGTGAGCCACTGTGCCCAGCTGGAACCATCGATTTTAACTCAAGAGAAAGGCTGAGGGCAGATGCTCTAGGCTGGCTCAGGCCGACTCCTGCTGCAGGAAAATGGATGAACCAACCTTAAGTCAGAGGAGTTCCTGCCACTGATCTCTGTTGGTAGAGACACCCAGCTAGCTCAGGAGCCAGTCCCAAGCTCACTCGGGAGGTTTGCCAAATTCTCTGAAAGCAGAGAGGTGAGGGTAGTGTTGTGGTGATTTGGATCTGAAGACCCCTTGCCTGGGCCCCTGGGTGGGAGAAGGATTCCTGAGAATGTGATGATGATCTGCTGGAGCAGGTAGCTTTTTGCTCTGCGTGCTCTAAGTTCTGACAGGCCTGTTCATATTCAGGCAGCTGTTCATTCATGCCCGGTCCTTTCTTTTTAATGAATTATTTTTGAGACGAGTCTCGCTCTGTTGCTCAGGCTGGAGTGCAGTGGGGCGATCTCAGCTCACTACAACCTCCACTTCCCAGGTCCAAGTGATTCTTCTGCCTCAGCCTCCCGAGTAGCTGGGATTACAGGCACCCGCCACCATCCTCAGCTAATTTTTGTATTTTTAGTAGAGACGGGGTTTCACCATGTTGGCCAGGTTGGCCTTGAACTCCTGACCTCAAGTGATCCACCTGCCTCGGCCTCCTGAAGTGCTGGGATTACAGGCATGAGCCACTGCACCCGGCCCTCATCTTTTCATTTATTCACATATCCCATATTAAGTGCTGATATGCACCAGATTCTTCGGGCTCTGGGATGCAGCAGTGGATGAGAGCTGCGGTCCCTCCCCTTGCACATCCTACATTCTTATGAACCAGTGAGCCAGCAGCGTGATTTCAGAAATGAACTGAGTGATGTCATAGGCTGATGGGAGGTGGGGCAACTTAGAGTAAAATGAATCAGGGCAGGCACAGCTTGGTTGACCCCTAAGTGATCTGCAAAGCCTGGGAAGATTGTTTCTGGCATAGGGGGCAGTGGTGCAAAGGCCCTGGGGTCCTTTTAGCTCATGTTTGGGAGCAAAAAGATGCTGTTGTGGCTGAGTGCCATGGAGGAGAGGCCCTAAGAGGGGTCCTTCCATGGCATCAGCCCCACATGGGAAGGACCAGGTCCCCATGCCCTGGCACACACAAGGGGATCTATTCACAGCAGCAGAAAATGTACAGCTAGCTGGGTGTGGTGGCTCATGCCTGAAATCCCAGCACTTTGGGAGTCTGAGGCGGGCGGATCATGAGATCAGGAGATCGAGACCATCCTGGCTAACATGGTGAAACCCCATCTCTACTAAAATACAAAAAATTAGCTGGGCGTGGTGGTGGGCTCCTGTAGTCCCAGCTACTCGGAAGCCTGAGGCAGGGGAATTGCTTGAATCCGGGAGGCGGAGGTTACGGTTAGCCGAGATCGCACCACAAAAAAAAAACGTCAAAAAAAAAAAAAAAACCACATCAAAAAAAAAAAAAAAAAGAAAAAAGAAAAAGAAAATGTACAGCACGTGCTTTCTGTCCAAACATATCTGTAACAGGTGTCCTGGCTATGGGCCATACTTATAGCATGTTGTGCAAATTGGGATATTTTCTTTTCTTTTTTTCTTTTTTGAGACAGAGTCTCTGTCACGCAGGCTGGGGTACAAATGGTGTGATCTTGGCTCAGCCTCCTGGTTTAAGTAATTCCTCTGCCTAAGCCTTCCAAGTAGCTGGGACTACAGGCGCACACCACCATGCCTGGCTAATTTTTTGTATTTTTAGTAGAGACAGAGTTTGACCATGTTAGGATGGTCTTGATCTCCTGACCTCGTGATCTGCCTGCCTCGGCCTCCCAGTGCTGGGACTACAGGCGTGTGCCACCATGCCCAGCTAATTTTGTGTATTTTTATTAAGAGACAGAGTTTTACCGTGTTAGGATGGTCTTGATCTCCTGATGTGATCCACCCACCTTGGCCTCCCAAAGTGCTGAGATTACAGGCGTGAGCCNTAGAGACAGAGTTTTACCGTGTTAGGATGGTCTTGATCTCCTGATGTGATCCACCCACCTTGGCCTCCCAAAGTGCTGAGATTACAGGCGTGAGCCATCGCGCCTGGCCGCAATTGGGATGTGTTCACATTCTACATGCCATAGTATCCACATTTCCCAGGGATTCTGGTTTGCTACTTCCATGAAAGAATGCTGATCATCAAGCTTTATGGGCTTTCTGCTTCCCTGGGAAGGATGCATGCCTGAGGCCATTTCTTCCTGAATCGTGGTCACCAGCGCTCGCCCTCCTCTGGCTGGGCTTGTCGCTCCTGGGGAGCCTTCTGACCTTGGGGTCTTCAGCCTGTGATGTGCTTCTGCTTGGCTCAGCAGGTTTGCCACCCAGGAAAGGAACGGCCTGCTGCTCTACAATGGCTGCTTCAACAAGAAGCACAACTTCATTGCCCTGGAGGTTGTGGACAAGCAGGTGCAGCTCACCTTCTCTGCAGGTGGGGCCTTCTCCCTAGGCAGGGCAGCTCTGAGCAATTCACAGGTGCTTTGTGCATTAGAATGACCCTCACCCTGTGCAGCACCTCCAAGCTGCTTACCCTTTCATCCCTCAGTTGTAGGTCGAGGAATCTGTCTTACTGAAGAAATCCAAAGCGCACAAAGATGTTCATAGCAGTGTTATTCATAGTGCTGGAAATGTGAACGATCTGGCTTATGTTTTCAGAAACCAAGGAATCATTAAATTAAGTGTAGTACATCTCTAGATTAAAAATATTATTGCTGGCCAGGCACGGTACCTCACGCCTATAATCCCAGCACTTTGGGAGGCCGAGGCAGGTGAATCCCCTGAGGCCAGGAGTTCAAGACCAGGCTGGCCAACACGGTGAAACCCCGTCTCTACTAAAAATACAAAAATTAGCTGGGTGTCATGGTGCATGCCTGTAATCCCTTCTACTTGGGAGGCTGAAGCAGGAGAATCACTTGAACCCAGGAGTCTGAGGTTGCAGTGAACCAAGATTGTGCCATTTCACTCCAGCCTGGGCAACAGAGCGAGACTCCATCTTAAATATATATGTGTGTTGTGTGTGTGTGTGTATTGACAAGTATATTTAAGAGTGTGTGTGTGTGTATTGACAAGTATATTTAAGAGTGTGTGTGTGTGTGTGTGTGTGTGTGTGTGTGTGTGTGTGTGTATGTATATATATATATAGAGAGAGAGAGAGAGAGAGAAAGAGAGAGAGAGAGAGAGAAGGGCTGGCCAGGCAAGGTGACTCATGCCTGTTATCCCAGCACTTTGAGAGGCCAAGGCAGGCAGCTTGCTTGAGCCCAGAAGTTCGAGACCAGCCTGGGCAACATAGCGAGACCCCATCTCTTTAAGAAAAAAATATTGACAAGGCCATTAAGCATGTTATTCCAGTTGTTAGAAAAGAACATTTATCCAAATTACCAATGGGTGTATCTCTGTTTTTTTCTGGCACACATGAGGTTTTTATTGTTTTTGTTTTGACAGAGTCTCACTCTTTCCCCCAGACTGGAGTGGAGTGGTGCAATATCAGCTCACTGCGTCCTCCACCTCCCAGGTTCAAGCGATTCTCATGAATCAGCCTCTCGAGTAGCTGGAAATACAGGCACATTTCACCACGAATGGCTCACTTTTGTATTTTTAGTAGAGACGCAGTTTCACCATGTTGACTAGGCTGGTCTTGAACTCCTGACCTCAAGGGATCCATCCACCTTGGCCTCCCAAAGTGCTGGGACTACAGGTGTGAGCCACCACACCCAACTTGGCACACTTGATTTTTAGGAGTGAATTCTGCCATCTCCTCCTTCACCGGGAAGTTCTCCAAGATGGCTCAGAGGTGCTTCCATCTCTAGGACCCTGGCCCATGTTAAACGACCTGTGTGTGATAGTAGAGGATGGAGCTTGGTTTTCTGTGTGCAATGAAGAAAGGGAGGGACCCAGAACAGCAGCCGACCACAGTGGGAGAGGTGGCCATGGCCCTCCAGGCTCTGTGAGGTGGGATTAGGCTATTCCTATGGCCAGGGTCCCGAGACCCACACCCCTGTTTCCAGAACTTCTGGTTCCCTGGAGATGGCATTCCCTGACCAGGACCTGGTACCAACTGCACCTGGTCTTTGGTGCCCCTGAAGCTCCTTCCTCCCAGCTGCTGCTGACTTGGGGTTGTGCCCCGGAATCGCCGAGGGGTCTTGCCCACCCCACTGCAGCAGAAGCTGGAGGGGTGGAAGCGACAAACACCCTGAAGCAGAGATGCACAAGAGACGAGTGCGCAACCTCACGATGGGATGAGTTACAGGGTTTAAAAATTGTTAAAAACCTGAGATGACATTTATGTGATTGGACCTAAAGGGGAATGGGTTTTGATGATTTTGTCTACATTGATGCAATGCATGGGAAAAGGATTCGACCCCTGCTATGGTGTAGGCATGACTGCTGCTAGTACGAACAGAGGAGCTTCCCGTGTTTATACTTTTTTATATTTAGGAAACAGGAACAAGACCTGGGTGCACTGGCTCATGCTGTAATCGCAGCACTTTGGGAGGCCAAGGCAGGCAGGTCACAAGGTCAGGAGTTTGAGACCAGCCTGACCAACATAGTGAAACCCCATCTCTACTGAAAATACCAAAATTAGCCGGGGCACGGTGGCGCATGCCTGTAATCCCAGGTACTCAGGAGGCTGAGGCAGGAGAATTGCTGGAATCCAGGAGGCAGAGGCTGCAGTGAGCTAAGATCACGCCACTGCACTCCAGCCTGGGTGACAGAGAGAGACTCCGTCTCAAAAATAAAACTGGAAAAGAGGAACAAGAATTACTTTTGTAACCAGAAAAGAAAAAGGATAGAGCGGTGGGTGCCTCCCACCATGGTGTCATGGAGAGGGGAGGAAGGATGTGGCCGTGTGCTCCTGTCTCCCTGGCCACCTGCAGCCTCACAGCCCCGTCCTCGGTCCCTGGGAAGCCTCACCAACCTCTGCTTTCTCTCTGGGTCTGCCCCCACCATGCAGGTAAGACAACGACAACAGTGGCTCCGAAGGTTCCTGGCGGTGTGAGTGACGGGCAGTGGCACTTGGTGCAGGTGCAGTACTACAACAAGGTAGGATGGGCCCCCCACCTCCCCCGGCACCAGGACGGCTCAAGAGGGTGCCCTGGGGCCGGGCGTGGTGGCTCTCGCCTGTAATCCCAGCACATTGGTAGGCCGAGGTGGACAGATCACCTGAGGTCAGGAGTTCAAGACCAGCCTGGCCAACATGGTGAAACCCCGTCTCTACTAAAAATACAAAAATTAGCCAGGCGTGGTGGCGCATGCCTGTAATTCCAGCTACTCAGTAGGCTGAGACAGGAGAACCACTTAAACCCGGGAGGCGGAGGTTGTAGCAAGGCGAGGTCACACCATTGCACTGCAGCCTGGGCGACAGAGTGAGACTCTGTCTAAAAAATAGCCCTGAGTTTTCTGTCTTAAGACGTTCATACTCTGAATTTTTTTGTAAATGTTCTATTGGAAAGAGTGGTTTAGGAAATGCACATTGTGGAGGCCTGTGTCCACACACCTGAGCCTTGTGCAAGGGGCAGGGTCCCACCTGGAGCTCTGGACAGGGGAGGGACACAGGGACCCCGGAGATCACCTGTGCTGGGGGAGGGACATAGAAAGGCTTATTCATTTGCAGCCACCTTGGCCAGAGTCTTTACTAGTGGCTAAAATTCCAGGCCATTCAGATGGCTCCATAGCCAAAATTGTCCACTTTACCTGGATGTATTTGGGAAGGCTGCGTGGTCTCGGTTTCACTTTATGTTATTGTTCCTTGGCTTGTAAGGGCACGAGTTGCTGGCTTTTGCATCAAAATGCTGTCGTTTTCATGGCTTTGACTTTGCAAACCCCCTTTCTCTTCTTGGGAAGCTTCCAGGGTGTGCCCCTGCTTGGTCATGGGCCTGTGTTGGTCTTACCAGCCCATCCTGGAGCCCAGCCATGCCCCCTGCACCCCCTTCTCAGGCTTCCACAAGGCCAGGGCCTAAGCTTGGCTGGAAGACGGGGGCCCCTCTGTCCTCCGTGAGAATTGAGCCAGTCCCGTGGAGACAGCGGCTTCCTTCTTTCACTGCCACTGCGCCTGGCTTCGACTCACCAGCATTGGGGTCCAGCCACTGGGCCTGGGGTTGCAACGCCGCCTCCTCCAGCTTCCACGCTCCTTTCCCTGCCAGCCGCTGCTGTCCCTCTGCCTCCCCAGCCCTCCCCTCACATCTGCCTTGAATGTCCCACCATCTCCCAGGCAGGCCGCACAAGCTCCGAGTAGTGGTCACCGTCACAGCGGCCCTGGTTTTTGCCCTCTGTCCCATCTGTGCCGGCCCAAGGCAGGCAGACTCGAGCCTCATTTGGGAAGAGGGCGGACAGGAGGTGCTGGTGGGGTTTGGGAACTGAGTGCCTGCTTGGGATTTGGGGGGATATTAAGAGGGCTGGCAGGTGCCTGGGTGGGGTCTGGGCTGTGGTGCATTGGATGTTACCCCTAGTGGGGCCTGGCTGAGGGATGGAGAACCGTGTGCTCGACAGAGGTGCAGGGGCTGGTGGGGTGGGGGGTCAGGGCTGAGCAAGCGGAAAAGAGTGGGCCTTGCAGATGTGGTTCTGTTTGCTGCCATTGTCCTGCCACTGTCCATTTCAAAGACCAAGTCTCTTCTTGACATAGTGCTGTCCTGTGGCTGTGGGGGCAGTGCTGGCCAGTGTGAAGTGCGTTCACCTGGGCAAGCTGCACGGTGGCCCCTGTGTCCTGATGCCTGGTGCTGCCTACTCTGACCCCCTGGCCCTTCCTCTTGTGCCCTTGCAGCCAACCAGGGCTGGACACCAGAGCTCAATGTCCCCTAGGGTGGTGCTTCTTGAGGGCTGGGCCACAGGGGACCCTGGAGACCGTGCCCCATTGTCAGGGAAGCATGGGGTGTAGGCGGTGCATTTTCCTTCCTGCATGATCAGAAAACCAACTCCAGGGATGAACGTTTTTTTCCTAGGGATGGGGTGGTTAAGGGGAGGTTGAGTCAGCCTTGGTCTCCCCATCAGTGTCCATCACCCCAGAATCCTCATCCTCTGCTGATGGCAGAAGCAGCAGTGTGTCCACAGTTGTGGAGGGTATTGGGGGCAAGATGCCACCATTGCCACCTCTGTCTACACTCACCCTGGCTCTGGACACAGTGTTCACTGGGGCCTGCCTGCCACCGCCCCCTTCCAGGTGCTCAGAGGAGCAAAGTCCCCATGCAGGACACCACCTGCACTGTCCCAGAGGAGTGGGACCTCACATAGGAAGATAAACAGAGGACGGCGGATTAGAGTCTTCACAGCTCCCGTGTCTAAGGCGGGGTCCTTTCAGCGGTGCCTGAGCAAAGTCCCCTGTGGGGATTGGGCCTTTCCTGCGAGCGCTGGATGTTTCTCTCTCTTGCCTGAGGTTATTGATGAAGGAAACCATCAGGTTTTTACTATGTCTTTAGGCATCCATTAGGAGGTCTGATGGGGCCACACACTTGGGAATGTGTTTGCTGGGATCATGAGCTTGTGCCTGTGGGAGAGGCGGCCCCGCTGCTCCGTGCCTTGGTCTTGGAGTGGCAGCTCTGACAAATGCAGGTGTAGGGGCCTCCTCTGGAGTGTGCCTGAGCCGGGCAGGACCAGTCAGGTTGTGAGTGGTGTGGGGGCCTGGAGTGGTGGCAGGGGCCCGCCTGAGGTCAGGAAGACAAGCCTCTGGGGCTGGTTCCTCTCCTCTCTGGGCCTCCACTTTGTATCCAGTGTCACCTCTGGGGTAACCTCCAGCAGCCACCTCCGGGGTAACCTCGGGCCACCAGGGCAGGTTTGGGGGAAGAGAACTGACTCAGGGTGGGAGGGGACCCCCTCGGGGAGGAGGTGTTGTGGCTGGATGATGAGGGGTGTCCAGGACCATGGCCAGGTGAGAGGGGCTCAGGGCTGGAGCTACAAGTGTGGTCTCGAGGGCAGCGGGTGACATGGCCAAGTGAACCCCCCTACACATGGGTCCCCACCTGCCTCGGCTAATGTGATGGGTCACCCCCACCCCAGCTGTGTTCTTTTCCCAGCATGCTTCATTCACCTGCCTTACCACCTCACTGGTTTTGGTTTTTGTATTTTGGGGGATGATTAAGAAAACATATTTGAAAAGATTTGGCATGTGGCAGTCTGGCGAGGGTGGAAGCATTGGTGGGGACTGCACCGCTGCCCACCCGCCTCTCCAGTCTCACTGTCTGTCCCCCGCCCTCTGAAGTGGCTGTGTCTCTGAGGCATGGGCCACCTGCATTTCAGGTCTGAGTACGACCTCCTGGCTGTCACCTATAGGAATGGCCTCCTGAACTGTGTCCATGTGAAACCTGTGGGAGACGCCTCAGGGATCCTTCCTCCATCCGCCAGTGCCCAGGGCCTGGGGTGCTCCAGTGGGACCAGCCCTGGAAGGGTTGTTTACAAAGGGCTGGGCAGGGTGTGGGACATCCTTGGGGGGTGGCGTGGGACCCAGGGCTGGAGGCAGTGCTGGCAGAGCTGTGACAGCCCTCACTCCTGGAGCATCAAAGGAAAGGGCAGGATGGAGCCAGGAAAGAAGGGGTCATGGTCAGAAGCCACGGGAGAGGGGCACAGACCACCTGGGAGGGGCATAGCTAGCCTGGGGCCCTCCCGACACCCCTCCCCTTCCTTGCTCTCTCCTCCCATCTGGCTCCCTGCTGTCCAAAGCCACCAGAAGCCATGGGGCAGGGAGCCCTCCCAGCTAGGGGGCAGGCAGAGTCTGTTCGTTTTTCCTTTCTGCTTGATGACATCTTAGACTAGACGGTTTATTGGTCTAATTCACCTTCAGCAAAACCAAACGGTGGTTTGGAGTCGAATGTTTCTCCAGGAAGGTCTTTTCAAAGGCAGGCATTTGTACGTTCATGTGGAGCTCCACCAGGCACAGATGAAACAACACGGCCCCTGCTCCCACAACCGCCCCGGGAGTCTTGGGGCTGAGTGGGGCATTTTCAATCATTGCTTCATCCCAGGAGTGGTTTGTTTTCCCCCCAAGGTTGACTTAAAGGCGTCTCCACCACAACTTCCAAAGGGGCAAACATGCCTGACAGAAAACATTCTTCCAACTTGAGATTCGGGTTTTGCCCTCATGAGATTTAAGTGTTTGCTATTCCTTTGGTCGCCCTTGGCATCCTTGGTTTCTGGGAGGTTTGGGGAGAGGCTTATTCCCCTTGGAGACAGTGCTGGGAAAGGGCTGTCTGGAAGGACAGAGACCCTCGGTGCCTCGCTGAGTGGACAGTGCTTCCCTGGGGCTACCTGTGGGAATCATGTTTAGACCTCACCTTGCTCCAGGAGCTCCCAGCAGGGCCGGGGACACAGACATGCCAGCAAGATGTTTAATAGGGCTCTGGTGATGTGAGGGTGGCTCATGCCCACCTGGCCTGGAGATCTTCCAAAGCCAGGTGAGCCTGCCCAGAGCCTGCAGGACGACCTCCTGGCCAGCTGGTGAGGCAGGGGCATCAGGCAGTGTGGCTCAGCGGAGCCTCAGTGAGTGAGCTGTCAGGTGAGGCGGTGAGGTGGCGCCAGGAGGGCCAGAACTGCTGGGAGAGTCCGCACGAAACAGGGACGTGGGAGCAGCCATGCTGGGATCCTCTGCCTAGATGCTGCTGCCCCATGGGGACCATGATCGTTCATTGTGAGGCCTGTTCTGGGCAGCGTTCCTGGTCTCTGTCCACTAGACTCCAGCTCTGCCCCAAACCCAGTTTTGACGGCCAAGAGGTCTGCATCATTGTCTTGCCCCTGAGGTTGTACCGTGGATGAGAACCACTGGGCGAGACGAGAGCTCAGCTGAGAGGGAGCCCCAGTGGCCTCAGATGGAGATGTGAGACCCAGGGCTAGGCCTTGAGGCAACAGGTGCCACACAGATGGCAGGTGTTCTTCAGGGGGCACTCAGCGTCTGTCACCTGGCCTGGATGGTGCTGTGCTGGCTGCAGTCGCCAGGTTGGCCACATGTGGCTAGACCACACGTGATGAAGCCCCGTGCCCAAGCTGGCTGCTGGAGTCCTTGGGTCCCTGCCTCAGCAATTGGCTTCCTCTGGTTCTGGTGATTCCGAGATGGCACAGGG